AAAAACGCAAATTCACATACGTAAAATTTGCAGAAGTACGTGCTAGTGTGAGTATGCCCTGAGACACAAGCTTTGAGGCTTTACCTCTTCACACCACCTGCCCGACCCGCATCAACGCACACTCTACTTCTGGAGAGAAAGCAACAGAACCCACTCATTCACATCCGACCCCCCTGACCCTACCGCGGGTCCCCGGTCTAAAACGCTCCGCCCAGGCCGTATGAGCCACCGCTTGAGCCGGTTGCTTCCCTTCYCGCGAAGCGGGTTGAAGCATTTCCAGTTTTCGAGAGTACCTTCTACCCGGGCCGTACTCTTGTTACCGTTACTCCGTTCCCTCGCCCCTCCCCGTGAGGCTGTGAGCTGACATCCGTGCCTCGTTTATAGGTTGCATGCGAAGCCGCAGTCTATCTCTGTTGGTAGAAATAATGCACAGCCTGCCGCAGAGAAGCCTTGGTGACTTAATACCGGAAAGCTTTTGTATCGACGACGAACTTATCTCTGCCACTTGTCATGCCCAGWTTCCCGCGCCAGGGAGCTGAGGCGTAATCTTTCCACGTCACCGTGACCAGCCGCACTACAGTCGGACCATGATCAACGGCCGGGCGGGGAAGAACGTTTATTCCTCAATAAACTGCGGCCGGCAAGAACGAGGATTCCTCATTAATCAGCTCGTGTTAACATTTTTTTTTTTTTTTTCTTTGACAAACAGGTTACTTCCACTCCCTGGTGCGTGGCAATCAGGGACTCATGGGCYAGTTTTGCAATTAACAGCTCAGGGCAAAACAGCCCCTCAGCTCGTTTATCGCTACCATGTGTGCACCATTGATAGCGGGACGTCTCGGGATTGTGCATGCTGATGTGATTTGATGTGGTGACTTGTCCCCCATTYCCGCCAGCTCATTCGTAATAAASCCCCCCTGCGTACGGTRGATTTTCCCCGTTCCTTCTCATTTTAGTAGACTTCTTTTTTTCTTTTTTTCTTTTTTTCCYCGTCCCTGTACTAGTGTGATGACGCCTAGCTGKTTGATGAAGRCGATRCGTTTTYGCGAGAGAAGGAACGTCCTCCGTRCGGCATTCTGTGACATYAGAAGTCKACACGTGCGCGTCCGCTTGGTGCGCGTATTTCTCTTCTCCTTCTTCCTGATCTTAGCTGCCATGCTCCGCAGCTACAGTCCGGTCGAGGGACTGTCCCGCAGATTCTCGTCGTTGGCTGTGATTTCGAATTCCCATGCGCACGTGGTTGGGCGTCTTCTGCAGGCGCCCACATCGGAAGCCCCGCCATCTCTTCCGTTCGTATCATCACTCCAGACRGACYCTTGATCAACAACTCGATACGGGTCGTTGCTTCACATCCATCCCCGGCAGAGGATTGTAAGTCTRTAATCGCGAACCTGGTGGTTTCGCCTCAGAAAGGGCTGTACTATGTCCWCGCGCAGACGTGCTCAAACAGCAGCGTTACGTCKATMAGAAAAGCCAACTTATCGAGGGCAACCCAGGGATCAGACTCAGCGGATGACGAATCAACAYTATTAACCTACTTGTGGTCTTCCGAAGAGCCGARCAGGTCGAGAATTGCAAAACGACCGGATTCGACGGCTTCCGTGATGGGGATGGCCCTTTCGAAAGATGGCTCCCATCTCAWYTTRAGCGTAGCCTACCCTYACCCCGACTTTTGGAACAATGGTAACTTCTACATTGGCAGCATCACGTCCTTGTCTGTTTCTGACTCCTCCCGTCGTTCTTCCTCCTCCCGTCGTTCTTCCTCCTCGCTTTCCTTTGATTATATTAACAAAATCGGTTTGGACCCTTCCGGAGAGCGTCTGGTTTATAATAGGCTCTCTTACGGTGGACTCGAATATGTTTGGGTCGATAGCTCGGGACTTCCGTCGGATGTACCATTAGAATTAGACAGTGATTCGGGGTCCCCGTTTAGATTCATAAATGGAAGTTACATTGGTGAGGCCATATTCCAATCTCAAAGCTTTGTGAACAATTGCCTTTATTTTTTGCAGACAAATGGGCTGCAGCTGTTCGGGTTTCACCCGTTCATCGAGGGGACCCGACCCATAGCGGTATCCTCCTATCCAGGCCCACCAAAACGCAGGGATGATATTGTCGTTACTCGAGACGGGTGTCATCTCTTTTTCACGGTATGGAATACTCTGCTTAGCCTGGACATCCGCACACAATGCTATCAGCTAGTAAATAAATTCTTTAGAGAGATGAAGTACCCATAGGGTACACTTGCGGGACTGGCATTGATGGAGAATGAAGTGGGGGAGGACGCATACTTATACTTGGGCTCTGAGGACGGGAAACTTTTTGAAGTGCAGTTGAACAGRTCTGGCAGAGGCTGTGTATTAGAAGCGGAACCAAGCATTCCCCCCGCACCTGAAGATGCCGTAGAATCAAAACCAAGCATTCCCCCTGCATCTRRAGCTGTAATCACTCTTCTGGTAACAGCTGTGGTGGCTGGCACAGTGGTCGCCATGGTAATCATTGGCAGCTTGATTTGCCTATGGCGGAGGGCGCKCCGCCGACCAGCTGGTACGGAACGTGCCGTGRAAGGCGGTGAGCAAGCGACGTCATCTTGAGTGGAAGATGAAGCGTTGGACGCGKGGGGAAKTAAGCCGTCGCGGGTCGAGCAGTTCGCTTTCRGAGTCCTTTCGGAATGTACGGACAAATTCAGCGAGGGTCGAAGAATTGGGGAGAAGGGAGCACTTGGRAAGGTTTACAGGGGCTCGGTGGACGGCAAGGAGGTCGCGGTAAAGGTGATGACGGGTGAGCTAACGGACAGCAAACGGAGCCAGTTTGTGGCCGAGGTGAACACCCTTAGCGGGCTCAATCATGCTTACCTGGTACAACTAGTCGGGTACTGCCTCGCGGGCGATCACTGCATCTTGGTGTACCCGTTCTTCAGAGGAGGCAGTCTGCAMGGGCGGTTGTGCCCCAAGGYCGTCAGTGGGGGCGATGCAAAAGCGCCGGAGACAGACCAAATTGTCGAGAATCCATCCCCTCCGCTGACGCTTCTGGAGCGCATGAGCATCGCCTTCCAGGTTGCCAAGGGGCTGTGCTACCTTCACGACGCCGCCAGGCCGCCRATTATCCATCGGGACATCAAGAGCAGCAACGTTCTGCTCGGCTAGGGATCTGGCGAGAAGCTTCACGTCGTCGTTGCGGATTTCGGATGAGCAGCCATCGGCGAGAGGGTATTAGACACAGGACATGGCCACGTCGTGCTGACCTCTCACACCGGMGGCACTTTCGGGTATATGTCGCCGAGTACATGCTGAGAGGAGAGCTGTCGGAAAAGAACGATGTGTACTCGTATGGGGTACTCGTTCTGGAGCTGTTGACGGGCAGGAAGGTGGTCGGGCCGGCTCCTTCCGGGCTGGGATGGCAGACGCTCGTCGAGTGGGTGATGCCGTGCCTTCGAGGGGGAGTCGTCCCGAGC